TCAGGCCCGAGCCGGGAGGGAGCTTGCGGGCGCCACTTCCCAGGAACCACGCCGCCTTCTTCTTTATAAGAGTGGAGACGTATTGAAAATTGATTTCTCTGCTGGAAACGGGATAATTAAACTGGTTGTTTCTATCTCCATCATCGTCATAATAAAATGAGAGGACAGTGGGTTGTGCACGGCATGAACACTGTACGTCTTAATGCAAGGGAACATTAATTGAATACAGATGGCCTTTCTTGAAGCGGCTGGGTTATATTTCAGAGATATGGGATAATGATGCCAGTTAATCATTTTTACAAGATATAAAATTACTGGCTCCTCCAGGACGATCATTAAGGAAGACAATTGTTCACAGTAATTGAAAATAGAGTTTTAATTATTTAATATAGAAATTAAACTATTAGAGACCAGCGTTGAATGAGGGAACTTAATAGAAATTTATATACAAGCGTCTATGAACATTTTAGCTTTATTAACCTGCCAATTTCTTAATCCAGATCAACCTGGAAGGGCTGCTTTAGCTGTGATTGTGAGTTAACCGCTTGCAGAGGAGGGTGGGCCCGGGCTCCCCAGGCCCCAGGTGGATGGGGGAGCTGGCCGGAACCACAGGAACCACAGGTTCCTGGGAAGCGTGGTGAGGGGCAGCCGTGCCCTCAGGTGGGCACCGGAACACCCCACTGGGAATCCCGGGGTGGGGGGCGGGCGGTCCAGGAGCTCAGAGAGCCCGTGCCTGGAGGTGTGAGCCCAGGGCCATGGCATACCAAGGCCAGGGTCTCCCACGCGGCGAAAGCGGTGGCCACGTCATGGAAGGTGGACCTCGGTCTGTGCTTGGTGATGCTGTTCCTCGGGATTCGATGAGGATGGAGGTGCAGACCCGGCCGGGAGCTGGGACCACCCACGAGGCAGGTCCTACGAGCATGAGTCCCCCACAGCCCGGCTGGCCCAGCTCCAGAGCCCACCGTCCCCGGGCCCCCAGCCCAGTCTGCTAATGCTCCCACTCACCCTCCGGTCCCCCCACTTCCCCTCCAAGCCCGAAGGACCCTCGTCCCGGTGCATCAGATCTGTCGTGTTTGCAAGCAGCCTGTTTGAGGGTAGGAATGCTTTGAACAAGGTTTCTGATTAATATCTTGAAATGGGAAGTCCTTTACCATGTTGTGTGAAACCACCCAGGAGCTCACTGTGCAAAAACACAGAGAAAAATCCAGAAACCATCAAAACATGGGTTTCTGCCTTTGTGTGGCTGTGAGGGCTTTTCTCCCTTTAATTCCCCCCCCCAATTTCCTACAATATAACATATTGTTAAAAGAAACTCCATATTTTAAAAATATGAAAATCACTATTTCCAAGACATAAATTCGGAAAACAAACTGAACTTTTAAGCAGGGGACTGACGAACAGGAACCAACCGGTCCGATTCGGGGGCTGCCGCGGGTGAGGGACCGACGCTGCCGCCGGGGACCCGGGGGGGCGCGGGGCCTGGACGCAGGCAGAGCGGCTGCGAGGACGATGCTGGGCCCCTCTCCTCCCCATCCAGCCTGCCCTGGGTGCTGCACTTTCCGGGGGAGGGGCTGGGGCTCCTGGGCGACCAGCTCAAGGCCGTGGAGCCCATCCGGATCCTGGAGCTCAGCTTGGACCAGAGCCGACTGCTGATGGGGAAGTCGTAGGCTGGGCGAGGGCAGTGGCGGGATCTCCCGGGGCCCCCGGACCCCCGTGCCCCGTGCCAGGGCGCCCCGTCATCCACCTGCGTCCTTTCTGGAACGTTTAGAACTTGCAGATCTGGTCGTCCTTTCTCAAAGGGCTGAAGGGCTGTCCACCATTCAAATTACATTCTGTCTCCTATTATTACCAATAAATTCCAAGTGATCTTTCTTCTCCTTAGAGTTTTTAGGGTTACATAAATTTCCCCTACGCAGCTCTTTCGTGCTTGAATATATTGCGGAACGCCGCTTCTGTCACAGGAGCTAATTGACACTGTGATTTGTTATGTTGCTGGGACATAATTCAGAAAGTTACTGTAGCGGCTTTGATACACGGAACGGCACTCACTGTTGAACATTTCTCACGGGAGCAGATGCAGCATCAGGTGAAAAATGTGACGCTGCACAGATGAAATATTTCCAGAAGCTTTTATTCTTGTTGTTTGGGTGGCTGCCAACATCTTTCTAGAAGAAAGCTCGCATTTCCAACGCTGCTTGATTTGAATTTATTCCCTGGTCATTAGTTAGTGCTTTAAAAAAAAAAAAAAAAACTGGAACAAGCATGTGTATATATTTGAAAAAAGGAAAAAATCAAACACAAAAGAGGGGAATCACCACCTCTCAATCTAATCAAAGATGAGCTTTAAAAAAATTTTTATGGTGGATTAGTTATAGATTCACAGGAAGTTGCAGAAATAGCAAAGGCAGTGCAGCGCGTCCTACACAGCACACACTCCCCTGGGGAGTTGCCCCAGATAGCGGCAAACCAGGGGCCCAGGTTGGTGCTGCAATCCGGGCTGTGGACCCGGTTCTGTTTCCACCACTTCAACAGGCATTTGTGTGTGTGTGTGTGTGTGTGTGTGTGTGTGTGTGTGTGTGTCTGTATTCTGTGTGTCTGTCTCTGTGTGTCAGTGTGTGGGAGGGGCACTGTGAAATGTTATCCCATGTATAGATTTGTGTCACTGTCACAACCGAGGTACAGAACCTGGCTTTGCCCCAAGGCTTCAGTGGGCCTGTTCTCCATCTCCGCTGTTCTGTCCTTTGAGGATGTTGTATAAACGATACCACAGGGCGTGATCTCATTGATGCTGGCTTCTCCACTCAGCATGACGCCCTTGAGGTCCAGCCAGCCCCTCGTGGGCATTCTAGCAAGTAAATGTGCTGTTTGCTTAACTGTTAGAAGTGAAGGCATTTGGGTTGTTTCTAGTTTTTGCTCTAAGGGGATGGAGCTGCTATAAACATTCATGCACGTGTTTGTGTGAACCTAAGTTCCCATTTCTCTGGGATAAATGCAGAGGCTGGGCCATATGCTAACTGCACACACAGTTTATGAGAACCTGCCGAACTCTTTTCCAGAGGGTCTGCACCATTTTAGATTCCCAGGAGTAACGTATGGGAGACCCAGTTTCTTTGCGTCTTCCCCAGCATTTGGTGTTTGTCACTATCTTTCATTTTAGCTGTTTTAGTAGATATGGTAATGATATTTTATCTCGGTCTTAATTTGGGCCTTTTTTTGTTTTTACTATTTGGGCTGTTGTGTGTCTCGGCCCAGGAATCTCAGCACTGCTCACTCTGCACCTAAGAGCAGGGAGGCCACGCCGCAGGGATGCAGTCTTGCCAGCTGGTGTCCAGGGCACGAGGTCAGGACGGAGCTCCATGCCTGCTCACGTACCAGGGGAACCTTCCCCTGCTGTGCCACCTCCCACGTGCTCAGCTCCTGGGCCTCCCAGCCCAGACGGGACGGTGACCAGGGTCAGTCAGCCTGGGACTTGGCATCCTCTGGCCATTGAGTGGCTTCTTCCATCTGCCACGTGGCCCCAGAGGTAGGCGAGACAGGCAGGGGACTTGAGGCCTGGTTGGGGACGTGACTTCTGTGCGGACACCGCACCTGTGCTCGGAGCCTGGCAGGACGGGCCCGGGAGCCCCAGGAACACCTGGGCGCCCTGGAGATGGCACCCGAGCAGCCCCGGGGCCAGCGGCCCAGACCGTGCACTCTGTGGCCTGGCCTCAGCGGATCTGGGGGGCTGCCTGCCAGGACCCATGCCAGAAGGAGCTCTGACCCTCCCCGGCCCCAGCCTGTGCGCCCTCTAATGGGCTGGCTCCACCCCAGAGAGGCCAGGAGTGGGCTCACCCTCGACCCTCAGCCACAGACCTGGGGGGCTCTCGGGACGCAGGGTCCTGGCCAGTCTGCTGCCCACACGTGGGCCAGGCTGGCCTGGGCACGGTGTGAGGAGCTCTCCCGGTGACTGTGGCATCTGTCCTCCTATGGCCACCTTCAACTCCAGCTGAGTGTCCACCTCTGGGGACAGTGGCCTCTCCCAGGGCTCACTTTGACCAGAGCGGTGACCACAGGTGGTGGCTGGACATCCAGCTCTGGAGGAGGCTCTGCTGCACGTCCCATAGTAGTGGGGGCTCTGAGATCAGGGGTGGGGCCCCTCCCTACTCCCGTCTCTGGAAGCTGCAGTCACCCTGCAGCCCGTGACGCCCTCAGCCTCCTGGGCTCAGCCTCCTAGGCACGCCCGTTCATCCCTTCGCTCTGCAAGCACCTGCTGGCCCCGCCACGGCCTGGCGCTGGACAGTGCCCCTCTCCAGGGATTCCCAGCCCGGTGGTTGGAGGTGACCACAGACTGTGACGCACCAGGAGTGGTCAGCGAGGAACAGGACAAACAGGGCGTCGCAGGCTCGCCCCCGCCTCCCCGAGGATCCCTGGCGTGTTCACACGGCCATTTCTGGTCCCGTGATTCAGGGGAAATGAGGTCCTGGACCCAGTCTGCCCACTGGCTCTTCCCGCCTGCCCTCTGCCCGGGACGTGAGTCCCCACCCCGTGGAAAGCTCTGGGCAGGGAGGGGAGGCCTGGGGACTCATTTCACACAGCCACTTCCTCTCTTTGAGTTTTGAGGTGCTGGGCAGTGCTGGCGTCTGCGTCGGCCGGGGGTGCAGAACCAGAGCTGGTCCCTGATTCCAGGGGCACAGAAACACAGCTCGGAGGTGACGCAGCTGTTTACTAAAGCACTTCAACAGACTCTGCCTCCCAGCGATTCTGGTCTAGCAGCCGGGGCACGAGGGGCCCGGGGGCCCAGGCCGCTGTGGGGTGGGCCTGGACGCGTTCCTCCCCCAACCCGTGCTGCCGAGCCCCCCGAGATGCTCTCCTCCCGCCGACAGGGCCCTGGCTTCACCGTGGAGGGAGAAGCAGGCTGCTGCCCCGTGCAGAACGGGGGCCGGGCGGGGTGGGGGTGGGCTCTGACAGCGCAGCCTGGGAGGAGGTCATGGGCGGAGGGGCCGGGGACACCAGGGAGGGGGATGGCGGATGGTGGGGACGGGCTGTGGGGAGGCGCGGCCCCATCACACGATGGCCTGGTGCGGCAGCCCGTAGAGTACCAGGTTGAGGGTGACGGGGAGCCGCTCCGAGCCCGGCGGCTGCGGCCGGAAGAGCACCAGCCTGTCCTTCCAGGTCTGCAGAGCCTCATCTGTGGGGAGAGCAGGCGGGCTTGTGAAACGCGGGGCTCACGGGGACAGGATGCCTGCGGCCCAACCAAGGCTCACGGCGCATGCGGGGAGCACAGCAGAGGTGAGGGTGCTGCTGGCTCTGCCGCTGGTCGCAGCCCGGACGGGGACGCCGGGTGCGGAGGCAGCAGCCACAGGCCAGCGCTCGCCCACCCCTCACACCTTCACTCGCTCATCGGCTCGCTCGCTCCACAAGCATTTGTTGTTCGGCAACTACCTCCCGGGCACCCGTGGACCATGTGAGTTTTGAATTTGAAGCCCCTTTCGCCTTGTATATTTGAAAATTTCATGATTTAAATGACCCTGGGATAAACCTTTCTTAGTTACGGTAGATTCTCCAATCAACGTATTGCTAAAGCTCAGACTCCCTCGCACTGCATTTAAGGTTTTTACACCAGAATCCGTGTGTAAGGCCGCTGCTACACATGGACTTCAGGGTTCCATTTGCCTTGAAGGAGGAGTGGGTGGGCTCCCCGCCTCCCAGAGAACACACCAGGGCTTTTGGAGTTTATGGGACTTGAGCTGTTTTGAAGATGAAGACGTTCCAGTGACCCATGTGTGTTTCCGTAAAGACATTCGATGCCAGATCTCACTGTAGGCAGTGGTCTGTAGGAGGCTGAAGGTCTTTGTCAGGCAGGCTGACCTTCGGAGGCTGTGCAGAAACGGGAGAAGTGGGGGACCCCTGACCCTGTAGCCTGAGGGACGAGCAAGGAGGTAGGGCCGTTTCTAGTTACCGTGGTGGACAGTTTCACCGGTTCCCCTCTTCTGAAGGAGGCGGGTCGTTCTCCCGATCGGCTTGCCAGCTGTCAACAGATCTGGAGAAGAAGCAGCCCTTCAGAGGGACCGTTAACAGCCCACAGGCTTCCGGGAGCCCCGCGGGGCTGCAGGACGGGCGGCTGCCGGCACGACTCACTTTCCCACAGGATGCTGGCCCGCGTCGCGTTGTCCCGCAGGACCGTCGGCCACTGGTTCGCCACGATGCTCCTGACCCCCACCAGACTCAGGAGGACGGCCGTCTCGACGGGCCCCTCCAAGGACAGTCGGGGTGCACTGCAGGGGACCGAGCTCCCGTGGGCCGGGCCAGCACCAAAGGGCCCGGTCCGAGCCCTCCTCCACCCACAGCCCGAAGAGCGCCAAGTGTTGGACCGGGTATTTGGACTGACAGCTCTTAGGGTTCTCGAAAGAACCGAGAATTCCTCCCCCGCCCCCGCCCCCGCCCCACACACAATTAAATACCATTTAACAAGAAAAGTCATTTCAGAGCCCTGCCAAGTCCCTCTGGGCGCTCCCAGTCATGGGGTGTGGGGCCAGGAGGGGAACCCTGCCAGAAGGTGTCCTCTGCTCCGCCCGCCTGCAGCCCACAGAGGCCCTGGTTGGGGGGGTGACAGGTGACACGGGGAGCCCTGAAGCCAGGGTGTCCTCCCAGTTGCCAGCCGTCTGCTTCCTGGCCCAAACCCAGCTTCCTGAAGTTCCAGGCAGGGTCACCGTCCATCCATCCCCCCGCCCTGGGACTCTGCCAGGCAGGGTCACCGTCCATCCATCCCCCCGCCCTGGGACTCTGCCAGGCAGGGTCTGGGGGCCGGATCACGGCATCCCAGCTGCCCAGGGGGTGCAAGGACAGTGCCCCAGGCGGACAGCCGTGGCTCAGATGCCCCCCCAGGTTCCTCGTCAGCTGCCGGAGGCCAGGCTGCAGGCTTGAGCCCGAGCGGAGGGGACCCCGGGCACCTCTTGTTCTGCGAGGACTCCACGTGGCGCCGCATGCTCTCGCAGGACCGCGCCAGGTCCAGCAGCACCACCATCTGGCACTCTGTGGTCACAGGAGGGGCGGCTCAGTGGCAGGGCACCCAGGGTGAGGGCGCCGTGCAGGCGGGGGTGTTGCCCAGAGCGAGGAGGATAGCGGGAACTCGGCCTGACCCGACCGAGGCTCCGACACCACTCGTCCCCGTCCTGGGTCGCGTGGGCTGCACGGGCAAGCCGGCCGTTATTTGCCTTGGCCGACCCTCACCCTTCACGTCCTCCTTGGGTGACCGGGCCGGGCGAGGGAGGGAAGCCCACCCCGGGGCCTGCCACAGCTCTCCCTGCCTCGCAGAGGGGTCTTGGCTCCCAGAGGCCACCCATGAGGCACTCCGGCTTGCCAGGGGCTGGGCGTCGGTGGCCCTGGCCCCGTGTGCCCACTGAAACGGGGCCAGTGTCCAAAATGCAGCTCTTGGATGTGGGTGTGCGGAAAGCCCCACAGATGCTGAGGCCAAGCGTCAGGGGCCGTCCCCAGAGCGGGCAGAGCCTCCCGCTGTGTGAGGACAGGCCTGGCTGGGAACGGCGGGGGCACCCAGCGATGCTGTCACCCCTACAGGCGCCTGGGAGCCTATGATTTCTTCAGTGTCACTCACTACTCGTCTGAGAAGGTCTAGAATTCAAGTTTCAGAGAAGCCTGTTTCTACCTTCTCCTGGGGTAAGAACGTGCGGACCCCACCCATATCGGCAGGGCCTGGGGAGGAGACAGGGTGACGGGCTGGGTTCAGGTATCCCGACCACGGACAGTGTCCACCTGTGCCACACACCCCAAGGGTAGGGGCCTCTCTGAGGGGTCCCTGAAAAGGCCCCCACTCAACCGTGCACAGTGGCCAGCTCCCCAGCAATCCCCTCAGGAGAAGGTCACCTGAGGGCAGGCCAGACGACACTCACGGGCACCCTGGGGGTGGGCTGGGTGACGCAGGGGCCAGTGGACAGTGGGAGGGAAAACAGGGCCAGAGTGCCTGCATCTCAAGTAGAACAACTGGTGGGAAGGGGCTGTGACCAGCACTTTGCAGAAACACCCACCCAGCCTTCCTGCACTCTGCAGGCCCAGCCCTAGAGGGGTGACCCCTCCAACGCCTGACCCTGGCCAGGCCTCTCAGAGGAACGGAGGAGGGGTCCCCCAACCCAGGCCCCGCTGTGCCTTCCTAAAGCGCCCCCCCAGCCCTCCATCAGAGCACAGGGGAGACACCTGATAAGACACAGGGGCGCCCTGCTCTGTCCCCGGGTGGATTCGACTTGTGCCGGCGGGTCTGGCAGAGAGGCGGGCTTTTGGGGGGGTCTCACCTTCCAAGTTCATGGCGGCCAACCTTTCTACCAATATGTGGGACAGGAAGCTCTCCATCCCGTAGAAGAAAAAGCCTCCGCAGCTGCCCAGCAGCTGCTCCCACTCGGCCTGGCTGCCAAGGGAAGGAGAGAGACCCGGGGTGGATGCCTGCTGGAGCCGCGGGCTAAGGGCGCGATCCGGAGCAGACTGTTCCCGCGTTCCGCTCCACACCCTGCCCCCGGGGCGGTTACTCTGAGAAGCCGCAGAGGGTCTTCCGTCCGGTCAAGGAGCCCAGGTCCCTGCCCCAGATGGCCCCGCCCCTCCTGGGCCCCGCCCCGACAGAGCCCCTCCCCTCCATCGCGCCCCGCCCCCTCCGCGAGGCCCCGCCTGGAGGGGCCCGGCCCTTGTGCAGGGGCGCACACACGGCGGGGGCCCAGGTCCGCATCCAGGATCTGGGGATCTAGGCGCCTCCGTGCACCAGAGGGAAGGGTCTGACAGGACAGAAGTGGGGGTCAGGGCAGGAGGGAACCTCGGCGGGACGGGGAGGGGGGAAGGGGCCGCATGCGGAGCACCCCTCGGGCTGGCGCACCGCAGCCACCGCAGGACGGCGTCCCAGGAACCCAGATGCCAACCTGGGAAACTGCTTCTTCCCCAGATGCCCCGCCCATCTCGCAGTGAACATGTCTCGGAATCTTTCCAAAATTTCCCGGGTCACGGAGACAGGAGTCAGCATTTCTGCAGCCAGAATCGGATGGTGAGAAAACTTAGGAGCACCGCGCGTGTAGGCACGGGCGGTCCCGGTGCCCTTGGCGGCCCTTGGCGTGGCAGGGCGGCCTGGGCCTTGGGCCCTCACAGACGGGGGCCCCGGGGGAGTGGAAATCTTAGTACTCCTTCCCTCCTTTGTGGAGAGATGAAAACACCAGCTCAGCAAAAGAGGAGCTGAGGAATCCTGTCCCGGAGCCGCAGAGGCAGCCCTCAGCCGCAGCCGCAGGCCCGGAGTGGGGCACAGCGCCGCCTCGGGCCCAGGTCACACAGCTGTCGCCCTGACTGGCTGCAGACGGTGAGGGCGGGGTCTCGGAGCACACCAGGGTCCCCCTCCCGCCCACCGTCAGTGTAGCAGGAGGTGACGGAGGGCCGGGTGGCAGCAGAGGCCGAGGCACCCGGTCCACGATGCTCCGAGTGCTGTGGGCGGTGTATGGCTTGTGCGTGGGCGGGAGGGCTCACCTGGGCCTCGGGCCTCCTCGTAGGGGTCCACAACGACTGGGCCTTGGTTAAGGAGAAACAGGACCACACGCTCGCTGTCTGGGGCAGAAGCAGCAGCAAAGGATACATCTGAAGTTGTCCGCGTCGACCGCGATGCAGTGTGGGGGGGTGATCCGGGACACGACGCGCTGCAAAGACAGGCAGGGGCCCTTGGGGATGCGTCCTGGGGGCACGGCCGGACCTCGGGCCCCGCCCGGCTCTCCGCCTCAGCGGGGCCTCGACCACCTACCTTTGCTCCCTTCTTTGCTATGCCTCTCTTTCTGTGATCTTTACCTCTGCTCTCCTTTTTCGCATTGCCTTCTGTTGAGACAATAACAAGAAGTGGTGATGTCCTGGAACCAGACAGGGGCCGTGGTACACGGCGTTCGAATGCTTTAAATGCCACTGAATTGTTCACTTGAAAATGGTTAATTTTGTATCACGTGAATCTCACCTCAGTGAGACCACAAGAAGTGGTGTGAAGAGTTGATTTCCATTTTTGTAAAGTTGAAATGGCAGTAATCTCTCAAAGGTAAAGGCTCACAGGGTTGGGAAAGGCCCGGGCCAGGAGACCTCAAGAAAGGAACGGCCGCCAGAGGTTCCCGGGCCCACGCGGCTGTCCAATCACACACCACGCTGGGCACCTACCGGTGCCCCTGCTGAGCTGGGCCAGTCGCAGACGGCTGGGCCCTGCTGGCCCCTCTCCCTCTTGCCGGAGGGTTTACACCTGCCCCCGCTGCGCTCTCGTTCTGGTGAAGGTAACCGAAAATAATGCCAGTTTCCTTCATTCCCGTCCGGCCGCCTCGGAGATGTAAGCGCTGATGTGGGCCTCTCTGCCGTGTCCCAGCCTTACGGGGGCACCGCTGGGAAGCAGCTTGCCCTAGATTTGGATGGCTTTCTCCACCAGGATGAGAAGAACTCCTGGTTTGCTAAGAATTTCTATTACGGATGCATGCTTTTTATTTATTTATTTTTTTGCGGTATGCGGACCTCTCACTGTTGTGGCCTCTCCCGTTGCGGAGCACAGGCTCCAGGCAGGGTCACCGTCCATCCATCCCCCCGCCCTGGGACTCTGCCAGGCAGGGTCACCGTCCATCCATCCCCCCGCCCTGGGACTCTGCCAGGCAGGGTCTGGGGGCCGGATCACGGCATCCCAGCTGCCCAGGGGGTGCAAGGACAGTGCCCCAGGCGGACAGCCGTGGCTCAGATGCCCCCCCAGGTTCCTCGTCAGCTGCCGGAGGCCAGGCTGCAGGCTTGAGCCCGAGCGGAGGGGACCCCGGGCACCTCTTGTTCTGCGAGGACTCCACGTGGCGCCGCATGCTCTCGCAGGACCGCGCCAGGTCCAGCAGCACCACCATCTGGCACTCTGTGGTCACAGGAGGGGCGGCTCAGTGGCAGGGCACCCAGGGTGAGGGCGCCGTGCAGGCGGGGGTGTTGCCCAGAGCGAGGAGGATAGCGGGAACTCGGCCTGACCCGACCGAGGCTCCGACACCACTCGTCCCCGTCCTGGGTCGCGTGGGCTGCACGGGCAAGCCGGCCGTTATTTGCCTTGGCCGACCCTCACCCTTCACGTCCTCCTTGGGTGACCGGGCCGGGCGAGGGAGGGAAGCCCACCCCGGGGCCTGCCACAGCTCTCCCTGCCTCGCAGAGGGGTCTTGGCTCCCAGAGGCCACCCATGAGGCACTCCGGCTTGCCAGGGGCTGGGCGTCGGTGGCCCTGGCCCCGTGTGCCCACTGAAACGGGGCCAGTGTCCAAAATGCAGCTCTTGGATGTGGGTGTGCGGAAAGCCCCACAGATGCTGAGGCCAAGCGTCAGGGGCCGTCCCCAGAGCGGGCAGAGCCTCCCGCTGTGTGAGGACAGGCCTGGCTGGGAACGGCGGGGGCACCCAGCGATGCTGTCACCCCTACAGGCGCCTGGGAGCCTATGATTTCTTCAGTGTCACTCACTACTCGTCTGAGAAGGTCTAGAATTCAAGTTTCAGAGAAGCCTGTTTCTACCTTCTCCTGGGGTAAGAACGTGCGGACCCCACCCATATCGGCAGGGCCTGGGGAGGAGACAGGGTGACGGGCTGGGTTCAGGTATCCCGACCACGGACAGTGTCCACCTGTGCCACACACCCCAAGGGTAGGGGCCTCTCTGAGGGGTCCCTGAAAAGGCCCCCACTCAACCGTGCACAGTGGCCAGCTCCCCAGCAATCCCCTCAGGAGAAGGTCACCTGAGGGCAGGCCAGACGACACTCACGGGCACCCTGGGGGTGGGCTGGGTGACGCAGGGGCCAGTGGACAGTGGGAGGGAAAACAGGGCCAGAGTGCCTGCATCTCAAGTAGAACAACTGGTGGGAAGGGGCTGTGACCAGCACTTTGCAGAAACACCCACCCAGCCTTCCTGCACTCTGCAGGCCCAGCCCTAGAGGGGTGACCCCTCCAACGCCTGACCCTGGCCAGGCCTCTCAGAGGAACGGAGGAGGGGTCCCCCAACCCAGGCCCCGCTGTGCCTTCCTAAAGCGCCCCCCCAGCCCTCCATCAGAGCACAGGGGAGACACCTGATAAGACACAGGGGCGCCCTGCTCTGTCCCCGGGTGGATTCGACTTGTGCCGGCGGGTCTGGCAGAGAGGCGGGCTTTTGGGGGGGTCTCACCTTCCAAGTTCATGGCGGCCAACCTTTCTACCAATATGTGGGACAGGAAGCTCTCCATCCCGTAGAAGAAAAAGCCTCCGCAGCTGCCCAGCAGCTGCTCCCACTCGGCCTGGCTGCCAAGGGAAGGAGAGAGACCCGGGGTGGAAGCCTGCTGGAGCCGCGGGCTAAGGGCGCGATCCGGAGCAGACTGTTCCCGCGTTCCGCTCCACACCCTGCCCCCGGGGCGGTTACTCTGAGAAGCCGCAGAGGGTCTTCCGTCCGGTCAAGGAGCCCAGGTCCCTGCCCCAGATGGCCCCGCCCCTCCTGGGCCCCGCCCCGACAGAGCCCCTCCCCTCCATCGCGCCCCGCCCCCTCCGCGAGGCCCCGCCTGGAGGGGCCCGGCCCTTGTGCAGGGGCGCACACACGGCGGGGGCCCAGGTCCGCATCCAGGATCTGGGGATCTAGGCGCCTCCGTGCACCAGAGGGAAGGGTCTGACAGGACAGAAGTGGGGGTCAGGGCAGGAGGGAACCTCGGCGGGACGGGGAGGGGGGAAGGGGCCGCATGCGGAGCACCCCTCGGGCTGGCGCACCGCAGCCACCGCAGGACGGCGTCCCAGGAACCCAGATGCCAACCTGGGAAACTGCTTCTTCCCCAGATGCCCCGCCCATCTCGCAGTGAACATGTCTCGGAATCTTTCCAAAATTTCCCGGGTCACGGAGACAGGAGTCAGCATTTCTGCAGCCAGAATCGGATGGTGAGAAAACTTAGGAGCACCGCGCGTGTAGGCACGGGCGGTCCCGGTGCCCTTGGCGGCCCTTGGCGTGGCAGGGCGGCCTGGGCCTTGGGCCCTCACAGACGGGGGCCCCGGGGGAGTGGAAATCTTAGTACTCCTTCCCTCCTTTGTGGAGAGATGAAAACACCAGCTCAGCAAAAGAGGAGCTGAGGAATCCTGTCCCGGAGCCGCAGAGGCAGCCCTCAGCCGCAGCCGCAGGCCCGGAGTGGGGCACAGCGCCGCCTCGGGCCCAGGTCACACAGCTGTCGCCCTGACTGGCTGCAGACGGTGAGGGCGGGGTCTCGGAGCACACCAGGGTCCCCCTCCCGCCCACCGTCAGTGTAGCAGGAGGTGACGGAGGGCCGGGTGGCAGCAGAGGCCGAGGCACCCGGTCCACGATGCTCCGAGTGCTGTGGGCGGTGTATGGCTTGTGCGTGGGCGGGAGGGCTCACCTGGGCCTCGGGCCTCCTCGTAGGGGTCCACAACGACTGGGCCTTGGTTAAGGAGAAACAGGACCACACGCTCGCTGTCTGGGGCAGAAGCAGCAGCAAAGGATACATCTGAAGTTGTCCGCGTCGACCGCGATGCAGTGTGGGGGGGTGATCCGGGACACGACGCGCTGCAAAGACAGGCAGGGGCCCTTGGGGATGCGTCCTGGGGGCACGGCCGGACCTCGGGCCCCGCCCGGCTCTCCGCCTCAGCGGGGCCTCGACCACCTACCTTTGCTCCCTTCTTTGCTATGCCTCTCTTTCTGTGATCTTTACCTCTGCTCTCCTTTTTCGCATTGCCTTCTGTTGAGACAATAACAAGAAGTGGTGATGTCCTGGAACCAGACAGGGGCCGTGGTACACGGCGTTCGAATGCTTTAAATGCCACTGAATTGTTCACTTGAAAATGGTTAATTTTGTATCACGTGAATCTCACCTCAGTGAGACCACAAGAAGTGGTGTGAAGAGTTGATTTCCATTTTTGTAAAGTTGAAATGGCAGTAATCTCTCAAAGGTAAAGGCTCACAGGGTTGGGAAAGGCCCGGGCCAGGAGACCTCAAGAAAGGAACGGCCGCCAGAGGTTCCCGGGCCCACGCGGCTGTCCAATCACACACCACGCTGGGCACCTACCGGTGCCCCTGCTGAGCTGGGCCAGTCGCAGACGGCTGGGCCCTGCTGGCCCCTCTCCCTCTTGCCGGAGGGTTTACACCTGCCCCCGCTGCGCTCTCGTTCTGGTGAAGGTAACCGAAAATAATGCCAGTTTCCTTCATTCCCGTCCGGCCGCCTCGGAGATGTAAGCGCTGATGTGGGCCTCTCTGCCGTGTCCCAGCCTTACGGGGGCACCGCTGGGAAGCAGCTTGCCCTAGATTTGGATGGCTTTCTCCACCAGGATGAGAAGAACTCCTGGTTTGCTAAGAATTTCTATTACGGATGCATGCTTTTTATTTATTTATTTTTTTGCGGTATGCGGACCTCTCACTGTTGTGGCCTCTCCCGTTGCGGAGCACAGGCTCCGGACGCGCAGGCTCAGCGGCCATGGCTCACGGGCCCAGCCGCTCCGCGGCATGTGGGATCTTCCCGGACCGGGGCACGAACCCTTGTCCCCTGCATCGGCAGGCGGACTCTCAACCACTGCGCCACCAGGGAAGACCCGAATGCATGCATTTTATCAAATGCTTTTTTTCCTGCATCATCTTGGATGTTTATAAGTTCAATTTCCCTTTAATCTGT